ACTCTAAATTTTTTACATTTTTTAAAAATTATAAAAATATATAAATTATATAATTACATAAATCTAGAATATTTTTACGTGAATGATTTATATGTATTATATTGAATTATATTGAATTATACGTATAGAAAAATATACTTAATCGCTAGTACGGACATAGATCTATTCCACGTAATGTTACACCGTGTTTTTACTTGTATACATAGCGGTGCCGACTCTATAATTCACCTGTGTTGACTCCGAACATTGTTACGATATATATATATATGGGCGCTCATGTAAGTCACGGAGTACATGTAGCGCGCATTGCAATTCATATATGCGTTTACACAGGATGCACTACGTGGCATATATTAATTCGAGCCGTTGCGCACGTGATATGCGTATATATTATAGCGCGATTGCAAACTCCTTTATAAGTGAGCCGAAAGACGTTTAAATCAAATGGGAAATGTCCACATGTCTATTCATTCGAATCGTATTGAATAAGTATGAATATCGATATTACCCTTGATTCATATTCTTTTTTCCCAGAAAATTATTTCAGTCTTAAGTGTAACCTTTTCCCTCTTTCCTTATTTTATAAGTAAACGTTGTCTTAAACTAACCATCCTTATCCTAATATTTACGAAGAGGAGACATCCTGTGTGCGTGTCTCGCCTTGTGGACGTGTTAACGCGAGTGCGATTCTGCTTTCAGAATTATCCACGAGAGCGGCTTCACGCCGGAAGACTTCAAGCAGTACAGACCAGTCGTATACAGTAACACGATACAATCTCTAATCGCTATTCTCAGAGCAATGCCTAATCTGGGCATCAGCTTTTCAACCAACGAACGAGAGGTAATGTGCATTTGTGTCTATTCAAATGCTTCAGAAAATAGGAGTTTGTTGTCGGGGAGAGATTCTGTTGAACTATAAATTTGAAATATAATACGCGTGATGCACCACGCACATCTTAGATGTTACTTCAAAATAGGTGCTCTCCAGCAAGCGACATAGGTGACACAGTGTAACACAGTGAATCATTACATTCTTGTGATTTGCTAATATTAGACAAAATGATTCGCTGTTAAGCTATAAATACAGATTGAAATAAATTTCCTAAAATTCCATATTTTTTTTCTGATTTCCAGAAAAAAATTTCATGCATGATTTTCTCTGATACTTGCAATAATATGTTGATATTTTTTTTGTAGTTTCGTCTTGATTTAGAAATCATCAAATATTTTGTTGAGAGATCAATTTAACATTGCAATGTAAATTAATGTTGCTGATACTACTTGCGTTTAATTGTCAAGTTACACTCTAAAAAATATCGATGTTGATTTAACACCCAAGCCCATGTCTATTAATTCTCACTGTATTGGTGTTAATATTATATATATTATATATATTATAATAATGTTGGTATAATATTAACACCAACATGATGTGGATTTCAAACTCGATGATATTAAACTTCTTTAAAGTTAAGAATTTTATTTTTCAAAAAATTTTACAAAATTTCTTGACTTTTTTCCTCCAATTTTTCTCTGTTTTCAGTTTTCTTGATATTTTCTTGATTTTCTTAATTTCCAATTTTGTGGCAAACCTGTAATATTTATGTCGTACAATAAATTTTTCGAGCGTTTTATTGATTACAGAACAGAAAAAAATTTTGAATTTTTCTATCCTATAGAATCAACAAGCTTGAAAAATTTGTCGTACAATCAATGTAATACTAGAGCCTTACACTATGTCATTTATGTCTCTTGTTGGAAAGTACCCAATAACTTCAAGGTAATTTCCCGTTACGTTTGACACATGTCTGCATTTCATTGAATTTTAAATTAAAATTTTTAACTTTGTTTTATACTTCCAGCTCGATCACATCAATGTGTTATAGTATTTATTTAGTAAAATGGATACTCCAATTTTCTTATCTTCACAAATTTTTGTTAACAATTAGTTCAAAAAAACGATCAGATTGTATGCGCAGAATTTACTTTTTATTTCCGATGTAATTTATTAACGATATCTTTATACTGTTCATCTCTTCATACTCGAGATACATGCTCGTATCGCTTATTTCATTTCAATGAAATGTCAAATGCAAAATTATGAAAACGGTTCAATAACACGCATATCAGTTGCATACATCTCGTATGTTATTTAAATGCTGTGTATCGATTATTTTAACTTGTGAAGCATGACATGACACCCAGAATGCGGTTTGCTACTTGCCGACGTTATCTAATGAATGAAGCATTCAACGACGAATCATAACATGTTGCCTGACCGTTGGTTGACTAACCAACGTCTAAAGCGCGATTGTGTAAGACGATCTGACTGGCCGGATGCATGCCCCCAAGAATATCGTACGAATAATTATTGATCATCTCTCCTTAATACTACAACTCCTATAATTCTTTGTGTGGGTGCGTGCGTGCATGCGCGCGCGCGCGCGCGCGCGTGTGTGTGTGTGTGTGTGTGTGTGTGTGCGCGCGCGCGCGCGCGTGAATTAAAAGATTATAAAATTTCTTAGACAAACATATTAGGTGTGAGAAAAAGTTCGTGGCGTTTTTCCCATTAGATGGCATTAAAAAAACGTCACGAATTTTTTCCCACACCTAATATTATAGACGAATTGTGAAAACTTTATTATGATTATTTGTTATATTTAAAATACAGTCATATAACATTCATTATGTAAATCATATTGATTTTACGCCAGGAATAAAATTCTATTTGGCACATGCATAGTAAACAACATTTTGTATTTGTGTTGAAAATAGTTCACTCAAATCTTTGTTAAAATATTGTGTTGAATTTTTGACATATTTGAGTGTTAATTTAACATAATGTGATCAATTTAACTATTTGATTAATATTATGTTATTTAAATATTTTGAATTAATTAATATTCATCATTTCTTAGTTAAAATAACATAATTTATGACAGTTAATACACATCAATAACAATATTTGAAAATTTTAAGATGAATGAATAAAATACATGTATGCATTTATGTATAATAATAATTGTACGTATTCTAAATGTTAATTTTACTGAAAAAATTGACTTTCACAATTTACTTACAAATTATGTCAATGTTACATTTTGTTTTAATTTTTTTATATAATATTTATGTTTTATATTTATGTTTTATATAATATTTATATAATATTTACTTTCTGACATATCCCTTTTGTATTAAATTAAGATAAAAATTTCGTTTAAGACAATTAATGAAATGTGTTAAATTTAACATAAATTTTGCGTGTACAAACTAGATTACAGGGAAAAATTCGACTAATTATTATTTTAGTAAAGTAAATTAGATATGATTGGTAATTGGTTGATAATTAGATTGATGGGAATATACCGATGTGATAAAAATATTTCAGGTATTAAATATAAGGATTTACATGTTTTTCGTGCTTCCAGACGGACGCAAAAATGGTATTCGATGTAATACAAAGAATGGAAGATACGGAACCTTTTAGCGAAGAATTGCTAGCGGCTATGAAGAGGCTGTGGTACGACAATGGAGTGCAGGAGTGCTTTGGTAGGAGCAATGAGTATCAGTTGAACGACTCCGCGAAATAGTAAGTGGCGATCATTCTTTGAAGGAATTAAATACAACATTTTTTTAATACAACAACAACAAAATAATTAATAACTATAATCTCGAAATATAATGATGCTTAATTCGGCTGCAAATTATTAGAAATAACTTATAAATTATGTATAAAGGAGATGCTTATAAATTTTATATAAATTGTATTATTTAAACGAAAATTTATTTCGGGAAATATAAAAAAAATTTTTAGCAATAAGAGAAAATATAACAATTAGGAACTTGAATTTTAAATCCGTTCTACAGCAAGTCATATTATCTATATAAAGCTTAAGAAATTGATCAATCATAATCGATTGTTCTTCTCACATTTGACTGTGACAGTGTCGATGTCATACGGCTTAAGACTTAAAGCTTAAGTAATGATTTATAATAGAAAATGCGTTTTTCTTGAGAATTTGTGTACTCGAAAGGGCGCGCGCGTACGGAGGGTAGAAGCAAACCTCATCCTGAACGTGAGACTTGTCGTCCCTCCTCTTCTTCTCGATGCGTTTCGCAGGCATATTTCGCGCTGCCCCCTTCGTTGTAGATATTGATTTTGTAGCGCTTGTACATCTCGGTGTAGTACCGTTTTCCAATACTTTCATCAGTTATCTTCGTTAAGCACATGTTTTTTTTTTATTACAGGATGTTTTTGAGCGCGTGTAATGATTGCGGATCTATTCCCCTCGATAAAGTCGAATCATAACATTCGACAAGTCGATCGCAAATAACGCGATTAAAAAAAGAGTGAATTTATTTTTCCAACATTCTTCGCGAGCGATTATTTTCGGGAAAAAATTAAAAATTTCTACAAAATTGGAATTGTCAGGAATTGTCAGGGAAATTGAAAACGATCAGGGAAATCATGGAAAAGTTGGGAAAATTTGTGTAATTTTTTGGCAAATTAAAATTCTTTAAAGAAATTTAATTTACATACATTATATCTACGCAAATTTGAAATACTACCAATTTACAACAATTAAAAATGTAAGCATTGTCAGCAACATTAATAATAATTTATATTGTTATGTTAAATTGATCTCTCAACAAAATATTTAACGTTTTCAAATTAAAACATAAATACAAATTTTAAAATATTATTGAAAGTCGGAGAGAATCACGAAACTTTGTTTAGAAATCAGAGAAAAGTCATGGAATTTTAGAATGAGTCATTTTAGAATGAAGAATTTGTGACACAATTTTGATTACTCTATTTTTTACTTTGACGAAAATAGTACTTTGTTGATAAAAAGTTAAAGTGCACATAAGATTAAAGAGACAAGGAAACAGTTTCTATGTTTGATTTATTTGAGATTTCTACTTATAATCTAATTCATTTTTACAGTCCAAGCAAAATAATTTCGTCAACAAGCTTCGCCTTTTTTTTTCATGAGAGATCCCCTTACTGACAATGAAACATGAAGAGAAATCAACGCGTTGTATAAACAAATTGGTCGCGAAAGATTTAATCGCACATAATCAGGGTAGTATGTATGCCACGTCGTCGTTGTGTGTCCACTGTTGCGAGATCCTGTCGCTAACTATTAGCGACAGGACTCGATTGGGGTATATGTATTCTATCGTCTGCACGCAATACGGTCCTTTTTTCCCCTCAACATCACGCCGTTTTCTGGCGCCGTTCCTAGCTTTAATAAACCGCACTGCGGTTTCGCACCGGGTTGCACGATATTGCATACAATACACTTATTGCACGCAAGTGCGCTCTCTCTCTCTCTCTCTCTCTCTCTCTCTCTCTTTTTTCTTTCTTTCACCATCATTTAATATCATTCACCGAGGAAATCCTTATCGCCCTTGATAATTATATATAACGAAAGTCGATGCTTTTTTGATAAGAGCGCATGATATTCTCAATTAAGGTCGTGAAATATGCAAAATACCAATCTACTTTTCAATAATTATATTAATTATTTGCATTCGATTCATTCAAAAACATACATATTTATGACAGAACAAAAAATTATATATTTAACACGATATTTGTATACATAAGAATATAAATGACCGTGTTGATATTAATAGATAAATTTACAAATAGATTAGTGCCGTTTGACATTTTATGATAAAAAATATTATGACGTGCTCTTGGAAATCTTTTGTCGAAAAATTGGAAAAAAAATGGACGAAAAAGAAATTTTGTCTTTGCTTGCAGCAAATGCCATATTGAAACATTATATATATATATATA